GTACATTCCGAGAATTCAGGTGTATGCAGGTAAACAAATACTGACGTAATAATTAGATATTTGAATTAGCAATACTGACAGCTCGGAATACGAACTGTCAGTATGAAAATGAAACTACCACCCTAGTGGACGTAGCTCAGGCGGGTGCTCACCACCTATGCATGATGGAAAATTAGTTCCACTATGTGGGTTAAAAATACTAAAAATGACTATTATAAAGTTTTCATTAGAATAGGGTTTTGTTCTGAATTTTCAATTTTCGGCCCCACACCCAGGCCAAAACCAGCCTACACCCGGCATTTTACTGTACTTCGAAACTATTAATTTGAGGTTATTTTTAGTACTGACATCACTTGCAGACTAACGTCCCCGTGATGATCGCGAAATGAGGACACTCAATGACGTCATTACTTGATGTGTAGCAAAAATGGCTGCATTTATTTCTGTCCCCTTGAAAAATAGTCAAGAAGTTAATGTTGTTCCACCGCTGAAGAAATTTATTCAGCGTACCTATAATAAAGATGGCCAAGAAGAAGATTATGCTCAGGCTATGAATGATTTGAACACTCAAAGGAATAATGCTGTTTGTAGGAAACTTGATAAGCATGAAAATTCGATCGACACCCTTCAGCGGTAAGTGATGTTGACGGGCTTGGTCGAATCGCGCGCCGGCTTTGCGGCACGGAAGCTAGGCCTAGCCTATGCTTCAAGTTTATGGCCTAGCCAAGTCCAGGCCTATGCCTAGGTACACCTTTCTTAGATCTTATTTGGTTGTTTCACAGTTGGATCTTGTAATATTTTATTAATTCTAATGCATATGATTGAGTCTGCCTCAATGTTTCTGCGCGGAGAATAAATTCCCTGCACAGGTCGTCTCGTACTTTACAGTCAGAGAGCCAGGATCCGGACCAACGTGTTTGATTTCCAATTTACCAGTATTCAAAGAAAAGTTTTTGATTTATTTTTTACTACAGATATTATGATCAACTTGTTTTAATGGAATCAAAGTTACCTGTATCAGAGGACATGGTATGTATTTTTATGTCAGTATAACAAACTAAATAAATAGTCAAATTAATTGTAATTGCATACATTTTAGCTTGAGTATCAAGGTTAAAGCCCCATTCCTGGCAAAATTTCACTAAAAATTGACTTTTTTTAGAAAATATGCATTTGCATTACTCCAATTATTAT